GGAGGGGCCGAGGAGAAAGCGCGCGGAGCAGAGGCGCGGGCCAGGCGGGGGTCTCAGCCGAGTGGCCGAGCGCAGGGAGCTAGCAAACAACGTCGTCTTCGAGAGTCTGCCCGGGAGCTGCGCTGGGCGCCCACCCACCCCTGTGCGCTCTATCTCCGTGACCTCTGTTCGCTTTAGAGGTGCTTGGCCCCCGTTGCCCGCACCCAACTCCAGGTGCGAGCCTGAGGGTCTCCGGCCTTCGAGAGCACCCGTAGGCTCCTTCCCGAGGCGCGGATAAGGTTGATTTTTGTGTCCTCAGAGCAGTGTCAAGGAGGCGCATTTGCCAATTTCAGGTCGCCGGTCCCTCGCAGCGTCCAGTCCCTCGCGACCGATGACAGCACCCACTCCCAAATCGCCATTTCCGCCTCCAGTCCAAAACGAATGCTCTAAGCGCTATGTCAGAAGGATATATCCCCCAAGTTACATACCCCCATGATAGACGTGAATGTGATGGCATTCCCCACCCCCCACCCCCAAGATCCTGAATCACGTTTCGAATGCGGTGTGTTCAGACACACACGTCTACACTCCCATACGATTTGAACCTCTCCTGCCTCTCCCCTGCTCAACCTTGCCGGGCCAGCGCTATATAAATAACACCAGCCCTGCGGCAAACGGCTGCATTAGCATATTTTCCTCCTGTGCCCGGGGGCCCAGTACCCACAAGAATTCTGGGGCACCTTGTACCGCAGCGTCCCCACATGCTCGACACTTTTCATATTGTCAGAAGTTTATTAGAGGAAGTCATTCATGGAGTGATCCATTTCTAGTCTTCCTTGGGGCCAAAAAAAAAAAAAAAGAAAAGAAAAAAGAAAAAAGAAGAGGAAAGAAACAAAGAGAAAGAAAGGGCTCTACTTTCCAGAATAACACACTTTAAATTGCATATACCGACTGATCCTTTTTCATTTTCATCATTTGCTCAGCTAAACCCAGTACACGTTAGTGGAATCCACTTTAACCTGCAGTGCAATGTTAGGGGAACTTGTACTTGCATAAAATACGATTTTTCCTCTGGTGGGGCCTCTAGGGTACAGGGAAGTTGTGAGCTTTCCTGGTGTGACTGAAGAGGGGAGATTAGATAAATATGGCGGGCAGAGGCCCCAGGGCTGCAGAGGATAGCAAACCTCTCAGAACTGGATCTTGAAACCTGTCGGTATAGAAGGAGCTTTTGAGGGTGATACTGTACCCATGTACATAGTACATTTTTTTAAACTTACTTTATTTATTCACTTAATTTCTCCCTTCTTTCCTCCATTTGAAGAAATAAAACATGCAAAGGGTCCCCAGACTGGGCACAGGGTACGTGCTCACTACAAGTTTAGCCATTTATGACTCCTGCTCTTCCCATTATAAACTGTACAATAATCTTCATTTCTCTTACATTATATTCTGAATTTGTGTATACCTTAGCAAATCTCCTTTATTTCCTCTTCCGTGCCTGGCTTTTCCTGAAGAGGTTTGTTTCGTGTTTGGCTCTACCTCATCTTATGACCAGAGAAACTCTGGCAAAGCATGCATTGTCATGGACCTTGAAAACCATTTGGTCAGAATATTGGTCTTCAGATGGGGCTTATCAGGGTTGGTTTTAAAATTCACACTCTTCTTTGTTTTTGTTTTTGTTTTTTGTTATAGGGCACATGTGCTCACCAGAAAGAGAGAGACAGAGAGAAAGAAAGTGAGAAATCACCCCCAGGGGAGATGCCACGCCACAATCCCTTCTCCTCCATTCTCCTCTCGGGACTTTGGGCACATACGCACACGCGCCCAGCGTGAGTTTAAGCCACCAGGTTGGGGATTTGAACTGCAGTCGACTACATGGGAGTCCAGCGACATAGCCATTACGCTAACTGCTGGTCCCGAAATCCACACTCTTATGCAGTCCTTACATTCAGTGCCCCATGTGTCACAGGATGTGCTATGAGTGTCAGGTGACGGATGACCAGGTCCACGAGTTAGTCCACACGGCCAGTTGGTTCTGAACCCTGATGTTCTGGCTTGACCTTCCAGGGATGTTTTCACGTCAATACACAGGAGCAGATTATAAAACCATAGCGAAGAGTTTTAAAGGATACTTGTTACTTTACATTTTCAGATAGGAGAAACCCTTGCCATAGAAAAGTTATTAGTCTTCATCCCAAAAGGGTGATAGAAATCTTCCAGCGGTACATTCCCAGAATCTGTGGGCCGTGCTAGAAAACAGTCTCCTCCGGGTCAGCAGGTGGCATGGTTGTTAAGGCACTGGACTCCCACATAGCCAACGATGGTTTGAGTCCCAGACCTGGAGGCTTGAAAATCATACCAGGCATGAATGCATGCGTGCCCAAAAATCCCAGGAGGAGAATGGAGAGGGGATTGGGGCATGGCCTCTCCCTTGGGGTGATTTCTCACTTTCCCTCTTAACTGTCTCTCTCGTGAGTGCATGTGCCCTATGGCAAAAATGATAAAAAAGAGAAAGAAAGAAAGACAAAAAGAAAGAAAGAGAAAGAAAAAGAAAGAAAGAGGAAGAGAGAGAGAAAGGAAGAGAAAGAAAGAAAAAAGGAAGGAAGGAAAGAAAGAAAGAAAGAAAGACAGAGAAAGAAAGGTACCCTCCAAAATCGAAGCAGAAAGCAATCAACATGAAATCTTTGTATTAACCATCTGTGGCACTGACCCAGATAGTGCAATTAGATTGCTGATTAAGTTAGAGGTTTCCCTGAGGTCCCTCTTGGGTCAACATTTTCCCCAACTCTTGTCAAGAAGATTAAAATGTAACTAATTTAATTTAAACCTGGCCTTGATATGTAAAAACATACCAGGGATGATCTCACCATGATACCTAGAACAAAAGGAGTAAAGGAAAGAATTTGTCATGGACACCCCCCTATGTATCCCCTTTACTAATTTTCTCCATGGTAGTTACCAGTACTTACTATTTGGTTGTTTATCTACTAACTCCTGCTCTAGTCTGTAAGGACCTTTCAGGGGTAGGCTCCTTGTCACAGCTGTGTTCCTGGTGGCTAAGAGCGTCAGCCCATGCAGGACACTCGATATCTATTTGTTGGAATAAATGAGTGTGCCAAGTTATTATCGCTCGGCAATGCTACCCATTAAGATCACACCACTGTTTACTTTGATTCTTAGCTTACAAGCAACCTTTCCTATTTGTTCAATCGCTCAAATATCGTGCTCAGATCAGTTGATGTGAGAATTTGAATGAACTTGACAGTTACATTTCTTATCGTCAGCTCTCACGGTTAATGGGTTACGTCCTGATAGGAAAGTTCTCTGGGCTGTTACTGGCTTGCAGATGGTGGATCGTAAGGCCAACGCAGTTCATAAGCCATCTGTGATGTGACCAGGAAATTATTGGGTTGTTGGAAAAGTCATGACACGTTTTTACATAGAAAAAAAAAGTCATGTTTTTTCTGACAACTCAGTAGATGCCAGTATTTCAAAATTGGGAGATTAACCTCTGAGGGGGAAAAATATAAACAAAAAAATAAATAAATAAATAAAACCTTTTTTTTTTTTTTTCTTTGGAGAGATTTTGCTATAGGGCACATGCGCTCTCCAGAGAGGCAGGAAGCGAGAAATCACCCCCCAGAGGGATGGCCACTTTGCAATCCCTTCTCCATTCTCCTCTCAGGATCTTGGGCATGCACGCACACGCGCCCAGCGTGAGTTTAAGCCACCGGAACTGGGACTCAAACTGCAGTCGACTACATGGGAGTCCAGCGACATAGCCATTACGCCAACTGCTGAAAAGTGTATTGGGCTCCTTGTCCATAGCAGAGACCCTGACCCTCTGAATGCCCTTATGTCTACAGGGTCAGGCTTCCTCCGAATGCACTAAATGGGTAGGTACTCTCTGGCTTGCTTTATCCCTGCCAAGCACACATCTCTCAGATATGTCATTTGGTCCCTGAGAGCCCCTGAGTTTGTGACTTTTTTTTTTTTTTTTTGAGAGGTTTTGCTGTCGGGTGC